TTGTGTTTATATGCTTTGGGGAAAGTATGTTTTGAAATAAAACGAAATCTGGAGTGAAGAAAAGGAGGCATGTGAATTGACTTGGAGGATATAGCTGTGAAAAGAATATAGCAAACAATAATATGGTTTCAAGTTCAACTTACTTTGAAAGGAAAATGGGTTATACCTGGAAAATTGATATTTTCCATCCTCATTTCAGATCATTTTTGGTGATTCAGTTTGGATTATATAAAAGAATATAGAGTCTTGTCGCACTTAGAAATTCTCTTCCTTTGGTTTATTATAACTGAAATTTTCTTTTGTTTAAGTAAGCCCCACAGGCCATTAGCGTTTTCACAAGCGTTGCTCTCCAGTGAGAGTTTCTAACAAGTAGGTTGGACTGACAGCATTTCTGTGGGGTATGGCTGGTCAGGTATTTCTTAGACCGCAGTTTGATGCTTTGGGACAAGCTTAAGACTTTCATCTAAAATCTGAGCTTAAATTAGCATTAGACTACTTCAGAATGTCCGATTGAGAAGTCAACCTAGCTGCCTGGTGAGAATGACTCCACCCTCCTACCCCCTTAAACTATCCCTAAGTGCCTTCTGTGATCTGATTGACAGTACTCTGGGTTATCACAAAGTTGTTTAGATCATTTGTCTTTTACTTTTGCAGGTTGCACCATTACTCAGACTTCTAAAGAGATCATTTGAAGTAAGAAAATCCTTTAAATTGCTTCTTCAGGTTTTAAGGTTACGCCCATTGCTGTCAGTGGCAAAAGGACCACATTAGCTGATCTTTGTTTCTTTGCCCCTGTGTTGCTATGTATTCCTTTAGGGGAGTGGGACGGAAGGTAGATCAGGAGGAGCCTGGTTGGACGTGAATCTTCCTTGGGAATTTCTTTTTCTTTTCTTTAAATCAATAAATTTCAGAAAGGGAGGGAGAGGGCGATTCTCATACATGATGAGAATCATTGATCAGCTGCCTTCTGCATGCCCCACACTGGGGATGGAGCCCAAAACCCAGGTATGTGCCTTGACTGGGAATCGAACCATGATCTCAGTTCTTAGGTTGATGCTCAACCACTGAGCACACAGGCAGAGCGTCCTTGGGAATTTCAACAGTAATCTGGCCCTTTTCTTCTGAGGTCAGCTCTCTAATGTAATTACTAAACATTTAATCCACAAAGGAGACTGAACAGTGAGAGATAAGTATCTTCAGATAGAATTAAAGCTTCCCGGAGCTTCAAATCCTCTTACTTTATACTATATGTTTCTTGAGAGATTATAAGTGCTTGCCCTGTAGCTAGTTAATAGTAGATTGTCATAGACCTAGTTAATGTCTGGTCATTAGTTTTGCTGCCCAAAATTTAAAACAGTAGGACATGCTGCTTCTCAGGGTTTGACCTTTGAAATGAGACATGGTAGACTTGAGGCTGAGCTTTGCAGTGGCCTATTCATTACAATTGACTGATTTGATCTTTGGGATTCATACATGTTGAGGAGAGACGGAGTGCATATGGATTTACATAGAGGAAAGAATTTTTGAAAGTAGAATAATATTGAGCAAAACATTAGCTGTGGGGGAAAGCACTCCAGCTATTTTGCCACTGAAAATTACAATGTCAGTACATGTTGTTTGTTTGTTTTTTACATGTTTGTTGATGACCGGCAGTTATAAATCAGGTGTGTGATTTCTTCTATTCTTTCCTCAGATTCAGTTGAGTCACAAGAGAAGCCCATCCTGATAGATCTGAGAAGCTTTCCAGAATGTGTGATAATGTACGGATCATGATTTTTTGAGCCAACTGTACATATTTAAGTTAATAGAAATGTATAATAAATACATGGCAACTTTTATTTGAAAATAAATGTATGTGGGAGAACAGGGGTGGGATAGACGGGGTCAATGAGGGGGGGGGGAAAGTGGACATATGTAATACTTTTAACAATAAAGATGAAAAAAAAAATGTATGCGGTTCTTCCCTCCCCACCTGCACACAGACGCACTAACGTGGATGCATTTCTTTTAAGACGAAACATGAGAAATTGGAAACACCTGTCTGCAGCCAGAAGTCACATAGGCGGATGTTCTCCTATTTCACACTTAGACCTGATTAGTAGGCCCTCCTTTCCCAGCGTAGGTCTCTCCATGTTTCAGGGTAACAACTAACAGGCTCTGATCTGCTTGACATGAGAGCGATGACATCGCATAGAATGAATTTCGAACTTGCAAGTCGTCCTGGAAAAGTGATTGTGGAAATGAAAGGCCTTTTCTGGACGTAGTACTTCAAGTGGTTGTGAAGAAACCTGTTACTCTTGTCCTAATTATTAGCCACTCCCCTTCCTGGAAATGATCCTTACCAAGACTTAAATGTTTCCTTTGAGCTCCAAGGTTGGCGGCAATTGATTCCATAATTCTTTAATTGTAATATAAGATCTGCTTGACATGAGAGCGATGACATCGCATAGAATGAATTTCGAACTTGCAAGTCGTCCTGGAAAAGTGATTGTGGAAATGAAAGGCCTTTTCTGGATGTAGTACTTTCAGTGGTTGTGATGAAACCTGTCACTGTTGTCCTAATTATTAGTCACTCCCCTTCCTGGAAATGCTCCTTACCAAGACTTAAATGTTTCCTTTGAGTTCCAAGGTTGGCAGTTGATTCCATAATTCATTAATTGTAATATAACTGCTTTAGACTAGTCCCTACATTTCTTAGGAAAAACTGACACGATAACCATGTATTTATGAAGTATTGGTTGTGAGAAGTATCAAGTAGATCTAAGAGCTTTCAATCCACCTCCTTTCTAAAACATGGAAAAGTCAGGGGAGAGGAAGTTTTTCTAGGGATGTAAAATGACTCTGCCCGGGGAAGTAATAAATCCCACATAACTGTTCACACAGATGGACCAGTGGCTGGTGCCTTCAGTGTCTTCAGGCTTTTTCCGTCTGTAGAGTAGCCCAGTAGGTGTGGATTGTGTTAACATATCCCAGCATCTTTCTAAAAGGAAATTTTGTGTTAAGATGGGCTATTGTACAATTGTGGAGACCCTTTCTCTTGTAGCAACATTTTGAAAAGTTAATCCTGAACATTTCAGATTCCTGACCCGTTGGCTTGTTAGTGTTATTCCTCTCTCGAGTTGCTAGAGGGCAGCATTGGATTATGAAGTATTTGAAGGCTTTTTGTAGATTTTTACCACCTTGTTTTTAGCTTCTGCCAAACCATTGTTTCAGAAACGGATACCAAACCATGTATGTGCTTATTCTGCATATGGTTTTCAGGCTGATAGATTTACAAGAAGTTACTCTAGAGACAACGATGGAAGCAGAATTTAAGTTTTAACTCTAACATCTCTGGGTCATTTTTATACTCTCCTAGGGGCAGAGCCAAGAATCCCCAGTTCTAATCTGGATAGATGATAAATGTGCTGTTTGTTCTACAGACATGCCACCAGTCCCATGTCTTGCCTGTTAGTGTTTTTTTCACTCTCTGGGGAAGTTGGGAGATTGAGTCAGGTTCTTAATACTTCTCTTGGTAGCGAGTGCTCAGTTAACTTCAAAGAGGCGAGAGCCACAATCATGAACTACTTTACACAATTCTCTGTTGGCAGTTGCTAAGTTAACATGAATGTAGCTCATATCTTTGGGGGTGGGGGAAGAATGACTGCCTTGAGCTCTGAGGTGATACTTTGCCATCCAGAGCTACACAGGCACTCAGGTTTATTTGGAGTGGTGAATTGGCAAGTTGAAGTCTGGCGTATCCCACTCCTATCTCCTCCCATTCCCATAAATATTAAACTAAAGGATTATTAGTCTATGGACTTTCTTTGAACAAATTCCAGGTGATACGTCTCACCTTCCTGTGTGTGTGTTTCTGGTGAGGATACATTAGCCTTTCTAAGCCTGCACAGGGTAAGGTGACCTGCTGTAGGGTTTGTGACCAGCATTTTCACACTTGAGCTTGGGAATGGGGTGGAGGCAGGCAAATGCCTGTGAAAATGAGGTCCTCCCTACA